TTCTTAAATGAAAGGCATTGGGCATACTTTTGTCTCTCTTTGATCATTAAGGCTGGCCTGAACATTGTATGGGTATTGGAATAAGGCATATCTGGCACCACAGCTAAGCACATAACTTTCTCTAGTTTGACAGACTTGAGCTAGAGTCTTGGCTTGGTGGGTTACTGACTGTGGACTCTGGGAAAAGTTACTTGGCCCCTCTATTTTCCAGTTTCTTCATCTGCATAATGGAGACAATAATATATACTGCATAGGATTGTTTTAGGGATCAAATGAGATAGTGCTGAGCTGGGGGGCACCTTGTAGCCAGGAATACTGACCATCCAGTCTCATGCTCCCAGGTAGCTAGGACACAGACCAAGACACGAATATTTACAAAGTTTTTCAAATTCATTTTTTAAATTGAATATATTTGACATGGAAGTTTAAGGTGTATACCATGTTACTTTCTACATTTATATATTGTAATATGATTGCTGTTGCAGTGATATTTATCACATCACATAATACTAGTACAGTATTGTTGTCTATATTCGTATTATGCCATGGCATTAGATCACTGTTGCTTACTTAGTACTCATTGCAAGTTTGTGACCTTGAACAATATCAATGTTTATCTCCCCATCTCCGCATCCCATGGTAATCACCATTTCACTCTGCTTTTTCTCAAGTTTGACTTTTTAAAGATTTTATTTATTTATTTGAGACAGACAGAGAGAAAGAGAGCAAGAACGCAAGTTGGGTGAGGGATAGAAGGAGAGGGAGAGAGAGAATCCCAAGCAGACTCCCCACTGAGCATGGAGCTCGAGACTCTGAGATCATGACCTGAACCAAAACCAAGAGTCAGATGTTTGTGCCACCCCGGTGCCCCCAGAACACACTATTATTTGTCTAAAGAAAGAGTGCCAGCTTGAAAAGGGTCAGTTGGGAAATGTAGAAAAATGAAGCCAGAGATGGGGCGGGCAGCATAGTGACATCTTGAGTACTGGCTATGGGGCACAGTGGCTCCATTAAAGAGCTGCTGCCTTTTGAACCTCTGGGTGGCCCATGGGCCTCTCCAAGGGGCTTTTATCTTTGTGTTTTCATATGGCTGTAGTGTCCTAGGGTCTCTAGAAGATCACTTAGCTAGTAACTGGTTGAGGAGGTCTGCTGAGACATCTAAGAAACAAAGCACTCTCTAAAGCACCTCCCCAACTTTGATAATATCTTTTGAAACACACCAGTTTCTTAAATTTGATGAAGTCAAACTGATCTATTTTTGTTGTTGTTGCTTGTCTTTTGGGTATCATGTCTAAAAAATCATTGTCTAATGCAAGGTCATGAAAATTTATACTTACGTTTTCTTGTGAGAGTGTTATAGTTTTAGCTCTTACAGTTAGGTCTTTGATTCATTTTGACTTGATTTTTGTATATGGTGTGAGGTAGGATTTCAGGTTCATTATCTCTTTTTAAAAGATTTTATTTATTTATTTGAGAGAGAGAGAGATAACAAGTGGGAGGAAAGGCAGAAGGACAAACAGACTCTCTGCTGAGCAGGGAGCCTGACTCAGGGCTTCATTTCAAGACCCTGAGATCATGACCTGAGCCAAAGTCAGATGCTTAACCAACTGAGCCACCAGGCAACAGCCCTCAATTCATTCTCTTAAACATTATTTGTTGAAAAGACTATTCTTTCCCCCAGTCAATCAATTAATGTAGCTGTGTAGTAAGTTTTCAAATCAGAAAGCATGAGTCTTCCAAATTTGTTCTTCATTTTCAAAATCATTTTGGCTCAACTGGATCCTTTGTGTACCCATATGGATTTTAGGATCAGCCTGTCCATTTCCGCAAAAAACAAAAAAAACCCCAACCCAGCTGGCATTTTGATAGGGATCGTGTTCAGTTGGTAGATGGCTTAGGGGAGTATTTCCATCCTAACAATATTAAGTCTTCTGATCCATGAACACGGGATGTCTTTCTACTTATTTGGGTCTTTTAAAATTTCATTGAACAGGGTACCTAGGTGGCTCAGTCCGTTTAGTGTCTGCCTTCGGCTCAGGTCATAATCCCAGGGTCCTGGGATGGAGCCCCGAGTTAGGCTCCTTGCTCAGTGGAAAGCCTGCTTCTCCCTCTCCCTTTATCCTTCCCCCTGCCTGTGCTTTCTCTCTCTCAAATAAATAAATAAATAATTTTAAAAAATTTCATCCAACAGTGTTTCGTAGTTTCTAGTGTGTACATCTTATACTTCCTTGATTCAGTCTATTCCAAAAACTTTTATTCCTTTTGATACTATTGTAAATGGAATTGTTTTCTTAATTTCATGTTTGGATTGTTCACTGCAAGTGTATAGAAATATAGCTGATGTTTGCATTAGTCTTGTATCCTTCAAGTTTGCTGAACTTATTCACTAATTCTAATAGTTTTTTTTAAATCTTTGTGGTTTTCTTGTACAAGATCATGTCATCTGTGCATATAGTTTTACGTCTTCCTTTCCAATCTAGATGCCTTTTATTTAATTTTCTTGCCTACTTTGCCTGGTTGAAACCTTCAGTACAATGTTGAATAGAAGAGATTAAAGTGGACATCCTAATGTTGTTCTTAATCTTAGGGGAAAGTTTTTAGTCTTAAGTAGGATGTTAGCTGTGAATTTTTCATAGATAGCCTTTATCAAATTGAAGGAATTCCCTTCTATTCCTAGTTTTTTGAGTTTTTCTATCATGAAAGGAGGCTGGATTTTGTCAAATGCTTTCTCTGTATCTGTTAAGAGAACCATTGGTTTTTTTTTTTTGTCTATATCTTGATATGTTGCATTACTTTGATTTTCATATGTTAGCTCAATCTTGCATTGCTGGGGATAAATCCCAGCGGGTCTTACTGTAGTATGAGATGTGTACCTAGAGATAGATTTGTGTACATCTGTGATTATTCTTGAGGCATTTTTCTTCATGGAAATGGAATTTCTGTGTCAAAATTTGATAGATATTCTCAAATCCTCTACAAAAATGCTATATGAAGCTATACTCCCACCAGTAGAGTAGGAAGTGCCTTCTTCCTCATGTCCCTGGCAGCACTGGATATTATGTATCTTTCAGGTTTGCTAAAAGGTTGGATGAAAATGGTATTTTGTTTACTGCTATAATTTGACATTCATGATTCCAGAGAATTTGGACATCTGCTGACCCCTTTATGGTCCATTTGTATTTCCTCTTCTGTGAAACAACTCTTTTTTATTTGTTTACAGAATGGAGAAGGCAGGGAGGACACTCAGGCCTCAAGAGAAAATCTTCTAGAACACATGGAAAAACCTTCATGTCTAGGTAGAGTGTCACTAATTTGACCAGGAAGTCCTCTGACAACACTAGCAATGGTAGCAATGGTAGTTTTGTTTTCGTTCTGCCTTTCAACTTGGAAGGAGGAGGGGCAGACACATTTCTTCTGATCAATTGAGAGTGGCTTGGATGAGATACCTCTTTGACTACACTGTTCTGGCTGCAGCCTTCATGCTCTCCCCCTGGCCTCATGACCAGCTGTTACTCCTGTTTTGTCCCCTGCCACCTTTACCACAAACCCACGGCCAGGGATACCTATCTCCTGTTCTACTCCTGGACCAAGCCTACTTTGATAGAAAGATGTTTTGTTCATGAAGGATTTGATTGAATGTATATGAGACTCAATTAGTGCTTCCCTCTCTCTCTTTTTCCTTCCCTCCCTTCTTTCTTCTTTCTCTCCTTTTCTTTCCAGTACCAGCTGGTCTCAGTATGGCTTTTCTTTGCCCCCACCCCCTCACTGCCTCCTGTCTCCCTGAGTCACTCCATCTGCCTTGTCACTGGAACAGTACGAGTGCCATCCCCAAAGTGGGGCCTGTGGGATGGACAATTTGCCATTTCCCAGGGAATGCTCTGCAGGGAAGCAGTTTTGGAAGGAAGGCAGATCTACTAATGACCAAAAGTCAAGACTAAATCTTCCATAAGAGAGCCTCAGCTCTAGGAGAACAGAAGCATCTTGGAGGAGTGAGGCATGAGGTCAGGAAACTAACCAGTACCTGTCATGGGTATCAGACCCTCCTTCAAGGCCAAGTCTGCCACCTGTATTAAGTCAGAGACCCCCTTCCCTGGGCCTGGGTTGACTCATCTGTGAAAGAGGAGACTAGAATAGGGATTGGTAATATCTAACTTTTGGGCACTCTGTTTTTAACTGGCCCAATTCCATGAGTTTCTGCTGGGCAGAGCTTTGTATATTTAGCTGCTCAATTTGTGCTAGTGGGAAGACTAACGAGGATTTTGGTAAGTTTTTTTTTTGTTGTTGTTGTTGTTGTTTTTCCTGCTGAGCAAATCTGACACTCCTAACAGAATTTCTGTGAGTTACATTAGCTGACACCCAGGGCTCTGGCCATTATAATCTTTTACCAACTGCACTGTATTTCTGTAAAAACCAGACTTCAAGTAAGGCGGTAAATATCAAGAACCTTTTTATGCTTATAAAAGGCTCACTTGACTTGGGTCCTGTTGTGAGAACCCAGGAAGGGCATCCAGGATAGTTAGGGAAGGGACGGATGTGGAGGGCCACCGGAGAGCGCTACGTTTCTCACTGTCTCGGCGGCTCAGCACAGAGCTGGGGGGTTCCAAGTTGCGTCGGGGAGTGGCAAGCGGAAGCGGGCCGCTGGGAAGGGCTAGTCCGTGAGGCCGGGATTCCCGCCTGAGGGTCTGGCAGTGGCCCGCGGCAGGCCAGGCGCCAGTGGCCCGGGGCTCGGCTGGAGCCGGCGACAGCAGCATGCGCAGTGTGGCCGCCGCCGCTCCACTACGGTTTCTGCCGCTGCCACGGCTACCCGGACGGCGGCGGCGGTGGCGGCTGCTGCTCTGCCCTGCCGCTGTCACTTCCAGTTCCTACTTTGGCGATCCAGGTCCGGGTCACCGCTTCCCCGCCGCTGGTCCCGGTCCCTCCAGGCCGCCCTCCCTGCCGGGCTCTGGCTCCGGGCCGGAGAAGCCAGAGCGCGCAGCAGAGCGGGGTCCGGGGCAGCCGCTCCCGCCCGCCGCCGCCGCCCCGCGCGCCCTGGCCCGGCTCGCCACCAGCGCACCCGGCGGGCGGGTCTCCCGCACCCGGCTCGGCGCCGCGCTTCTCCGCCTGCTGAGCCGCACGGCCCCGGCAGCAAGAACTTGAGGGCAAGAATCTGGCTTCCCTTTAGATTAAAAACAAACAAACAAACAAAAAGGCATAAAGAAAATCCTCAGGCTGGAGAGGTGGCGGGCGCGGCACAGAGTTTGGAGACGGGCGCCCCCTCCTCGCCCGCGTTCAGGAGCAAAGTTGCAGCCGCCCCTCCCCGCCCGGGCGAGCCGAGCCCAGCTCTCCAGTTTCGCTCGGGTGGCGGCCGCGTTCAGGGCAGGGTCCCAGCTCCGGCTGGGGTGCACAGTTCCCGCAGCCTTGGCACGGGCTCGCCCGCCCGCTCGCCGGCCCCGTGACTCGCCAGGGCGAGCCGCTTCCAGGAGGCGGCGGCGGCGGCGACGCGGCCGGAGCCAGCGAGCAGCGGGAGAAGCAGCGGGCAGCGGCCGAGCCAGGTGACCTGCCTGGGGGCGAGGGGTCAGGGGAAGGGGAGGGCGCGAGTGTCGGGGTGGTGCCGAAGGACCTGGGTTGCAGAAGAGCCGCCCTTCCTCCCTCTGCCGTGGCTTGCAGCCCCAGCCGTGGGGTCAGTGTTCGGCCAGGGCCTGGCGGTGCCCTGGGATCCCGGGGGCCAGGAGGGGGGGGGCGGGGGCCTAGGGCGCAGAGCGAGGACGCGGCAAACTTAGGGGCGAGTTGTCTGGCTCTGGCCGCTGGGTTTGCAGCGGACAGGATTCCTTCTTTCCCCTGGAACCAGAGCGGGAGTCAACAGTACAATTTTCGATACTAATTTGATGCCTCCCCCCAGCCTCCTCGGTCCCTGGCATCCGCGCATTTGGGGATATTTTCGGCGTCGAGTACACAGGTCTGTCGCAGGAATGGTTTGTGGCTGGGGGAAGACCTGTACTCTGGAAGGTGTACCAAAGTGCCGGTAGTTAATTTCGAGTTTTCATTTTTCAGTCATTTAGGAACCCAACAGGTATTTGAGCTATTTTGTTTCTTAGCTCTAGAGTGCAGAGCCCTTAAGTTTATCTCTGTCTCCTCAAAATTTTTATTTTTATTTTTGGTTTGTTATTGTCTTGGGTTACAGGGGTGACTCACATGTTTTTTTTTTTCTTTTCTTAATGTGTAGTGGGAATAAAAATGGAATAAGAATATATTTATCTATGCAACTACTTATGTTTTTGTGAATAAAAGCTCCACATAACCCCCCCCCAAGTCACATAATAGGTTAAATTTAAGTTGATGTTTTATAAAGTATTAACAATTTTAACAGCAAGATACTAAGGTCCAGACTGCTTTTCTAACTTATTTTTGCCTGGAAAGCCCACAATTTGTCCTTGAACTTCCTATCTTAATTTTGACATTGACCATGGTAAGAGGAGCTCGGATGACATCATTTGCTCCAGCCACAGTTCTGGTATTCTGTGACTGAGAGCACCTCTCTCAAAAACATTAAGGCCTGGGCCTGCCCTTGTACTTCAGCTAAGGCATTTCCAAGGATTTCTCTTAAGCAAAGTATTATGCTACATGCCAGGCAATGCTGCAGTCCCGTCTTACATAAGTGAGCTTCAGGCTGTGTGCTTGGAGCGGTTAGTATCAGAGAGTTCTCAGTCTCTGGGGGTGGTGGTGGTTGGTGATTGGAGTTTGGAACAAAGTAAATTTGCAGCTTGTATTGTCCTCTTGCATTTCTTGGCTGCTTAATTTTTTAGAATGCCATCTACATGACTTATTTGAAACTCACTATGCCCTTGTAAAGCATGCAGGAGAGGTAGCATTACTTTCGTTCAGCAGGAAAACTGAAAAGTTAGCTCACCAAAGTCATACAGTTTACCAGTCCAACCTGGATCTTCTGCTCTCAGCTCAGGATTTTGTTTTGTTTGTTTTTACTAAAATGTGGCATTTTATACAAAAGCATTTCATTTGGCACATATAATGCATGGTATGTCTTCCAAGCTACTAATTTTTTCTGTTCTTTTTGCCAACTCATATCTTGGCCTCGTCTTTGCTCGAACAGGGCTGGCACTGTTCTTAAGGATGAGGCCAGGAGTAAAGCTTTCTAGAGGAGGGTCTGTGGTTTCCATTTACGTGTGGTCTGTGTCCTCTCCATTCATCTTCAGGGATAGCATGTGCTGAAGACAGTGAGGAAACTACAGCCCAGAAATGTCTGATATTCATTTGACATCATTAGTCCAAGTATAATATTACTTCAGTCTTTACAAAGAGACTCATTGAGGAGGAGAAATTGGAGAGCGTGAGTTTTGTGCCTTTATAACGATCTGCTCATCACTGTGGTTAAGAACTTAGATGCAAATGAGGAAAAGGAGTGGAGTACCTAGCACTTCTCAAGCACCTACTATGTTCTAGGTACTGTGCTAGGTACTGTGTACTATGTTAAGTATATATTACCTTGTTTAATCCTCCCAACAATTGTTGTATCCATTGTGCAGTGGAGAAAACTGAGGTTTGGGGATGATCCAGACAAATGCCCCACATTGTCAGTGCAAATCAGAACATCATTGCTGATGAGCCTTACTCCAGAACTCATTCCATTTGCCATGTGGCAGACTGTCCCCCAAAAGGAGCTATTAATAAATACAGGAACACCAAGCCCCTTGGTGTTTAGATATGGCTGTACATCAGAGTTACCTATGGTGCTTCTAAAAAATACAAATGTTGGGGTGTTCCCCCCCAGGTGAGCTTAATTGGTCTGTAGTGAGGCCCAGGCCTGAGTATTCTTTTTCTTTTTCTTTTCTTTTCTTTTTCTCTCTCTCTCTCTTTCTTTTTTTCTTTTTCTTTCTTTCTTTCTTTCTTTCTTTCTTTCTTTCTTTCTTTCTTTCTTCTTTCTTTCTTTCTTCTTTCTTTTTCCTTCTTTCCTTCCTTTTCTTCTTCTTCTTCTTCTTCTTCTTCTTCTTCTTCTCCTGATTTTTAGAGAAGAAGAGGGGTGGACAGAGGGAGAGGGAGAGAAGCTTTTTTTAAAGATTTATTTATTTATTTTAGAGAGAGAGAGAGCATGAGGTGTGGGCAGAGGAAAAGGGAGAGAGAATATGAAGCTGACTCCCTGCTGAGCATGCAGCCCAACATGGGGCTTGACCTCACAACCCAGAGATCATGACCTGAGCTGAAATCAAGAGTCAGATGCTTAACCAACTGAGCCATACAGGCACTTTGGTATTTTTTTTAATGTTTAAATAAACTTCATATTGAAATATAACATGAATTCAGGAAATCGCACAAATCCTAAGTATTTATAAATTGAACACATCCATATAATCAGCACACCAATTAAGAAACACAACATTATCAGCACCCGGAAGCCACCCTCATCCCCTGTCCCAGTCACACCCCTCATCATTGGGTACCACTGCCCTGACTTCTAAGACAATAGATTCATTTTTTTTTTCTGTTTTGGTATACTATATGAGTGGAATCATACAGTATGTACTCATTTGTATAAGGTTTGTTTCACTCAGGGTAACATTTGTACAAGTCACCCATGTTGTGGATACTAAAGGTTCATTCTTTTTATTGCTGGTAGATCCTATCATGTGGATGTACCACCTTTTGTTTATCCATTCACCTGTTGATGGACATCTGGGTTGTTTCCAGTTTTTGGTTGCTATGAACAGTGCTGCTGTGCTTGTCTCATGCATGTCTTCTGGTGGACATTTCTGTTGGGTTTGTACATGGTAATGGAACTGCTGGGACTCAGGGTATGTTCAGCCTGAGTAGGTACCGCCTGACAGTTTCCCAAAGTCACTATGCAATTATTTTGATTTGAAAGGTCCCCAAAGTGCTTCTAATATGCAGCCAGATCTGAGAACCATTTCCATGTTTTTTTTTTAAAAAAAGATTTTATTTATTTATTCATGAAAGACACACAGGGAGTGGCAGAGACATAGGTAGAGGGAGAAGGGAGCCTGATGTGGGACTCAATCCCAGAATCCTAGGATCACGACCCGAGCCAAAGGCAGATGCTCAACCACTGAGCCGCCCAGTGCCCCTCATTTCCATGGTTTATCTAGAGTTCAGTGACCTAGCAACCTCCAATGTCTGCCACTTAGCTGAGAACTGTAAAGAAAGAGATACCAAACTTCCTCCACAGCCTTAGATCTAGAAAATCTCTGCTGAATTGGGCAACTATTGGCCTCATTCCCATAATCCTTTGTGTCAGGATATCTAATGCTGGCAGGCCACTCTCATCATAGGAACCTGAGTTTGATCATTCTTATAATCCCAGCACTCAATATAACACGTGCACAAAGCAGGTACTCAGTAAATGTTTATTAAATGAATGACCGGTAGGATGAATGAATGGTGAGGGAAGATCTGGGCTGCAGAAGAGACACACCGCCCCCATCTTTGCACTAAGGCTTCCGCACTTTATTCCTGGGAGACTGCCTCAGGATCTCACTTGGAGCCTAATGACTTTTACTTATCTAAGCATGTTGGAATTATGGGTAATCTGGTTGCTCATCCCAAAATGAATTAGAAATAGAAAATTAGATTAGATGAGATAAGATATGTGGAAGCACTTTGTAAATTAGAGAACAGCATCTAGATAGAAGGTCATGATAAAGGGAAAAGGGGGGCTGCCAGGGACTAGACGTGCCAGCAGTGGTAGAAAGAGTGCATATCCACGTATAACGCAGAAGAAATGAAACCAACAGCACACCAGGAAAGGAGATGGGAAAACTCTAAAAAGCAGACCTCCAAATATATAACCATCTGGGGCCTTTTGGTGTGGAATCAGGCCAACTCAGCACGTGCTCTGTGGTCTAGTGGCTCAAATTTGTGACTTTCTCTGCCTTGGTCTGGGTTTGAATCCTGGTCAGGGAAACCTGCGTTCCTGAACGCAGAAGTCGCATAGCAGTGCAGTGGCTAAGAGCCTGAGCTTTGGACTTGAATGGACCTGGATTGGCCACTTACTGGGTGTATGCCAACTTCCTTGGTAGTAGTGGGAGGTAATACTAGGTATGTGCCACTTTATTATTCCCAGGTATACACTACCTCTTAGCCATAAATGAGAGAAGGCAGAGAAAGCACTTGGTACAGTGCCTGGCACTGAGTAGACTCAATGAAAGCTCATTCCTAACTGGAATTTTCATATATCCCAGTAGACTAATGTTCATGAATGATAACATTGCATTATCTAAAATAAAAGTTCACTTAAAGTCTTTGGTTACGTCAAGCAAACTCTAAAGTGAGTTATGCTATACAGAGAGATCTTCTTTTGAAATCTTAACATTAAAAACAGCTTGGGGGTGTCTGGGTGGCTCAATCAGTTAGACATCTGACTCTTGATCTCAGGGTGGTGAGTTCAGTCCCTGCCTTGGGTTCCACGCTGAGTATGGGGCTTGCTTACACAAACAAAAAACTTGGGTACAGGCAGGGGTAAGCTGCGGCCTCTGTGGGATGATGGTTTCCCCCCAGGTTTCTGAACTTATACACCAGTCACTTT